GTTAAGTATTCTCTTTTGCACCTACAAAAAATGTCTCTCCAAGCAATCCTTGACAAAATTGCACCTACAGAAAATGTCTATTCACTGTTTCATAAACAACTCCCTATGCACAACTTAAAATTTATGGTGTTTGCACTAGTTCCCATTGCCCGGTGGACATGCAACTCTCCTTGTCTTCTAACAAGCTCATGAAAGTAGTTCCATCGGGTATATTCGTTATCCCTACAAATATGGATGCAAGCATAAAATACAACTCTTATTACTATAATAATTGAACATCCTGCTTCAAAAACTCATATTAATAGTACATGTCTGTTTTAGACTAAACAATTAACGGGAATGTGGGTTTAATATTACTCCATCACCACCAAAGTCATTTATGTCATGCGCTTCACATTCATCTCTAAAAAAGCTCACAAAAGTTGGCCCAATTACCAAATTCTCACCCCCCCTCAAATAGGACTAACAAAAACAAAAACAAATGTGCTTTAGGAGTCCTTTCATTACGGATGGACACACACAATATATGCATGTAATTACTTATTACCTTCATTTTTAAACAAGCTCATGAAAGTACTTCCAACATCGAAGTTGTCATTGTCCTTTAAAATGCATGCACATAAGAAATACAACTTTTATCAAACTGACATTATCTGTAAGTGAAAACTACATCCTGTTAGACATGAGTTCAAACCCCTTTATTATTTTTTCTAGAATATTTTCTTGTTTTGATAAATGACAAACAGGATGATGAAATTCAAACGATGATCGAAAATTTACTTTTCGTACCGAGAAAAGAAAAAAGGCGTATCAAGAAAGTTACGGGATAAAATCAACGCTCACCCCCACGCAGATTTTTGAAGTGAAGTGAAGACTCCGAAGACTTTTTAATTTTTATTGAGTCTAGGATTCTTGTAAGGATGACAATATCTTTTGCACAAAACAATTTAATTTCTGAGGGATAAAACTTATTTTTGAGTCAGTTGAAAAATCATTTTTTCTCTGTCTAAAATATTTTAGTGAGTCAGTTTCAAAATAAGTGTGTCAAAATTTCTTTAAAACATTTTTTTTAAAGTTACACAATTTTCTTTGGTGAGAAAAATATACTTTAAATATTTTTTCGTGTATTGTTTGACACACAAAATAATTTTTTGGACTCTCTTTTTCTCTCCCCTACTCAAATTCATTGAATAGGGAGATTTTTCAA